CACACGATCGTTAATTATATCACTACATCACTATAGGTCGTTTGTACAAACAATGGCAACAAGTAATGTAGTTTTAAATAGCTCTGTATAGCATTATTATCACTTTGACCTTGAGATCAATCAGTTAACTTATATGACAAATTAGAGGTCAAATGTGACACAGTTTAAATCTTTATAAGGTACTTTCAATATGTTGACATAAGACAGCACACTTGTAAGAATCATGCAAGTTATAAGGCTTGTTGATTTTTGACCAATGTACCATAAAGTTTACCTTGCAGACCTTGGCGGATGTAAGTCAAATTTGAATGGATTGTTAACATGGTCCCACTCTACAGCCCTACAAAGTGTTATCAGAACTCATGCAGACCTGCATGCAAACGCTACAAAAAACATAACCTCCTTAGCAGAGCTAATTATGAGCTCTCTATTCAGGAAGTTGTTTTCCTTTTGCCTAAACTCAGCTAAACCCTAACCCTGCTGTTGTTGCATCATAAAACTGAATTCCCTGCTCTAATCAAACAGTGTCATCTCTGGTAAACTGGATTCCTGTACAAGCTTTGGTATTAGAGAAGGTCACAGCACATTAATGTCGCTGCAATATTACGACAGGAATTAAACGTTAACACTAAAGTCAGCTGTAAGATTCTCTGGGACTGTGGTGGTTTGCTAGAACAGAGGTGACAGGCTGCTGCCTGATATGGTTAAAAGCCTTGCAGCTGCAGCTGCGATCAATACTGAGACTTCTGGCTGAGGCAGAGCTGTGATGAGTTAGAGCGCTGGCTTCATCCAGATGACCTCATTTTTTAAAGCATTTCCACAGGTGAAGCAAACACGATTGAACAACCCTCTTAACTTGATTATCAGCTCAGGTCAGGTGTTGACTTTAAATTTAATACACTTTGCACTCATTTCCAAACGGGCAAAACTGTGTGGCTTAAAGGACTGTGCCGGCTTTTTGGCAGTTGATTGATTTCTGAATTTTTCCTGGTTTGATTTGCAGGCTAATAAGAAGTAATGTGCAAGATGCTAAGAGGAGGACTGGATGTATTGTTATCAGACACGATGTAGATTACTGCCACTTAATCCAGAGTGCTTATTCTGAGAGATCCTGCATGTTTTTAGGGGGTGGATGGATGTGAACAATAGACAGGAGACACTATTTTTCAAAAGAAAGAAAGAGGGGAGGGAAGGATGAGAGGAGCGGGGTTATGGGAGTTTGTTGAGGAACTAAGCTGATTTGCAGTCTGAGCATATGCTGTCTCTTATTCCATCTCACAGTCTGCCCCCATCAAGTATCCTTCTTTTCGCTTTACCGATAAAAACGGGATCCTCTATCATTTTGGCAAATCCTCAATGCCGTTTTTTCCAGCCCCAAAGCAATGATGTGTGGCATTTCCACATGAATAATATTAATGTGGGTTCCTATGGTTGCGTAACAGTGACTGAAACTTTATCTAGGGTTAGGATTAGGTTATGGGGTTATGGCTGGGCTCAAATTCTACCTCCACTGACAATTTATGAGGCCTTATCTGTGACTTTATTTTACAGTTAAAAAACTTTTACAGGTCATTGGATTAGAGGATAATTCCTTATGACTTTACATATAATGTCAGGTCCAAATTCCGCACAGATCCCTGCAAATCTAATGATACTGTGCTTTACTAATGAACTCGGATCACATCTCTTGTATGCATCTTGTTGTTATATGTTGGTTATGAGATTTGCCAAAGATGGGTCCTGGACAGGCAATAAGTGCACCGTAAAAAAAAAAATCTTTAAAAAACAGTAATATTCCAGCAGCTGGGGTGCTAAAATAATACAATATAAAATAACAGAAAAAACTTTCCCATGAAAATACGGTTATTTTCAGTAATGACAATACAGTTTGCTGCCCTAATTTTACATGGGATTTTGCATTTTTCAAGTGCTTTTAAACATTAAATTAGGAACAATTTAATGTGATTAAACAATGAAATTACCTATAAAAAAGGTCAATGAATGCGGCAATATGAGAAATAATACCTAAATGTACAGAAATATACAGTTAGTTTAAATAATGATGGATTGCATTCATATAGCGCTTAAAGCACTTTACAATTCCACTTCATAATTCCCCTCTGACCATCACCAGTAGGGGGTAGGTGAAATGTCTTCTTGCCCAAGGACACAACGACCGAGAGTGTCCGAGCCGGGGCTCAAACCGGCAACCTTCTGATTATAAGGCGAACTGCCAACTCTTGAGCCACAACCGCCCTAAATAACAATAATAATTATTATTATTTAATGTAAAAAAAGTTTATGCAAATGATTTTATATATTTTTCCATAGCATTACATTTGAATTTTACAGTTTTACAGTTTTTTACAGTTTTATCACGATATTTTTTACAGTGTGGGTGGATGTTAAGAGATTAACATGCTGCAGTAAGACAGTGAATATTACTGTGATGGTTCTAGTTCCAAGGAAGGGCTAGAGGTCGATACTGGGGGACCGGCAGGTTAACCTGGTTAGAGCTGGGTTTTGTTTTGCCACCAGCAGAGCAGGAACATTTTCCAAATGTTTTGGTGTTTTGGTGTTACAGGTTTTTTTTTTTTTTT